GATTACCCTCACTTCAATCTAACCACAACAACATGAATTAGGGTAACAAGAGTGTCCATTAATCCGACACCCAGAACCAAGTACCCTCCCTACAGAATATGGTACATGTTCGGCTGTGTAGGCCTCCAGAGGTTTAGGGGATCGAAACTCAAGGCAGTGCGCGGTGCCCCACACTCCTAGTAACTCTCAATCCAAGAGTGTCCATTTCCAATGGCCATACCACATGGACTATCCCTCAGGAGTAGTTCGACTGTATAACACCCTTTGAAGGTTTAGGGGATCGAAAGCCAAGGGAACCTCACAGTCCCTTTCACTCTCAGGTCGTCAAAATCATCCTGGGAACCTGCATTTACAATTCACAGAACCTGTACTCACAACAACACACGTGAGTAATCCACAATACATATATGTATCTCACATATTCATAGAAATTATGAAATATGCAACCACAATGCAATCATAATTTCCACCAACTGAACTCCATTATCGCCGTGGAAGTTGCACCACAACCACATAAGTGAGTGATCCACCATTTATACATATATATCACATGAATGCCACTTATTCACAAAATCTATTAAATAATGCAATCACAATACATATGCATTTCACACAATGCCTCATAATTCATAAAACTTATGAATTAAGGCAATACCCATGCAATCATAATTCACATCATCAAAACACAAGAATATAAATATATGTTCACTCTCCTGTCAGTGTGAGATTCAAAAAAAATATGTATTTCACATTAATTGTCACGCCCCGATCCCAACATACGTCGCAAATCAACACGTGGCAAAGGAAAAATAACATTCGTTGAATATGACATACCATGCGGAATGAAATACTTTAACTGCAACCCAAACTAAAAAGAAGGTGGCTAAGTTCTTCACAAGATATTTACAAATATGAACATCCCAAAAAGAAGCATAATCTTTGCTTTACCAAGAACAAGTTTGAAGTGCTCAAAAGAAAGTCCTAAAAGATAAAGTACAAGAGTGAATCAAGGGTAACCTAATGCTCCACGTCTCTGATAACCGCATTGCTACCCCCACCTACGGACTTCTCGGAGTCTACTCAAACCTGTCACCTGTATGATTAGTGCCTACACCATCGAAATGGTGCATCGGGCAAACATTAACCCGTTTAAGCTGCGAAGCTCATGTGAGTGACAATAATACAAAGTATGTGATACAATAATAAAATCAGCCATCAATCACAATTTATAGACCTTGAATATAAATCATGCATGAGAAATCAATAACAAACTTTTGAAAACTCTGAAGGAGTCACCCAGACATTCAGCGATTCGTCTGAAACAATCACAACATCCCACAACCATATTCTCATATAACACAATGAAAGGTAGGGTTACGGCGACATAGTTCGGCCGAAACCTACACCTTTGAAGCTATCTCAAACCAAACTCAATAAAACCCAAGGTGGATACGATCCCGGTCCATCACTTAACGAAATCGTAGAGTATAAGGGATTCCGGACCATCTCTCAATGGAATCCGAGTGAATACGATTCCAGACCATCACTCCATGGAATCGCAGAGTATGAGGGATTTCGGACTATCTCTCAACGGAATCCGAGTGAATACAATTCTGGACCATCACTCAACGGAATCACGGAAGGCCAACAACCATAATGTATAACAGCTCAAAGAAATGAGACAAGCACAAGTTACTTAATTTACAAAAGCTCAACCAAGGGAAATAAGGCACAAATATTAAATTTAGAATGAATCAACGAAGCGGGAAATGAAACAATATCGAAGCAACAATCCCCATCACAATGGGTTAACGGCCCACCACTAGCCTTCACATTTCATCACATCATGCCAATCAAACAAATCAAACCATATTTCAATATACATACATCAAATCTCATTTCATAACTTGAATCAATGGCTAAACATTAAAAATAACAATTCAATAGAAAACATATATATAAAACCAAGTCATATCCACACAGGATAATAAGTATGAAAACAAGGTAATCACCAATATCACATATGTTAAAGTCACTCACCTGGAGTCCGCGTTAATGCACCCTAGCACGAGAGTCAAGGCATCGTTCTATCACCGCCTAAACAAGGTACAAGTCCACATTTAGATTTCATTCGATAATTCACATACTTAAAAACTCCCATATGTCTCCCACAGCAACATTTAATGAGGAATCGAACCGTCATTCTAAGGTATGGTCCATGATCTTACGTCACTTATTCTGTAAGATCCAATCACTAGGTTTTCACTTGTAAATTCCTAAGGTCCTTAAACAATATCTACCAAAGCATACTAAGATTGGGTGTCAATTCAATGGTAAGATTGTCAATTGTTAGAATAATCAAGTGGTGGACCTTATCAATAATATACTCAACCAACAGCATTTTCATAAATCGAATGTCACATATCGGGAAATTCGATTTTTTCCAAAAATTCTCAAATTTTACAAGAATAAAGATCTCAACAAGTAGAGTAAACTTTATACATGTGGCTGAGTCCAATTTGGCCGGGAAGGCCCTCAAATTGGCTTGCACCCTTTGAAATCCTAGGGTGGGTGTTCTTCAATTCGGCTTCCTTGGTGTTCCAACGCCCCACCCACCAGTTGGGTCTTGTTCCTAGGTCCAAAGGAAGTTGATTATGGGTGATGGTGAATGGTGATACTCTCCGGAACAACAATTTGTCGTCGAGAACCCCTAGGTTCTCCTGTGGAGTTGTACCCGAATTAGGCCTTAAAAATCCTTGATTTTTGGTGGAGGTGGAAGGAAGAAGATAGTTGAGCAAGTTGCAGGTGAAGGAGATAGGAAAATCAGATGAGAAATGGAGGAATTGACCTAAAATTGGCCCGTTTGAAAGTGTGTTGGTGGAGCACACGGGTTCACAAATGGGGGAGGGAGGATTTTTGCTTTTCTCCCTTTAATTGGTCCTTTCTACCCTCCAAAAATCTGATTGTCCCCTTTTTATTATTAGACTAACTTAATCTTTAGCCCACATGTTGAAATTAAACAATTCCCACAATCTATATAGTTCACAACTTCAAACGTTAGTAACTATACCGTATAATTCGGACTCCCAAATGGCTTTCGCCTATGCGTTCGTGGGTTCGAGATCTATTTAAAAACACTAGTTGCAACTTCGAAATATCATCAAAAGATAAAGATTGATTAAGAAACTTCCAACTCGATAACTAATCAATTACTAAACTTAAAATTAATGGAATTAAAATTAACTAATAAAGATAACGTAATCGCGAAATACGAATTTAAAATACGAGATACGTAATGAATGGTGAAATTCTAGGGATGAGATTTCACATTAATGCCACATTAATCACAGAAATTATGAATAATGCACTAACAATGCAAATCATAATTTCCATAGCACTTTATTCACAAAAATTATGAAATAATGCATTCACATTGCATTTCATAATTCACCATAAGAAGAATTCAAGATATAACAAATTGAAAGTAGGATCGTTTGCTCTGATATCACTATGTAGCGACCCGAATTTTCTAATTTGGAAGCCAAACACATAGGTAGGCCACAAATGTAATTACAATCACAAATTGAAAATCAAATGTAAGGAAGTCGGTTGGTATCTATCTTGTGGAAAATATTACAATTATACAGTTGGTTAATTGATGATTTAATTATATATTTAGGCTAAACAAAAGCCCTAGCAAGTTAAGAAGATATCGAATCCTTTTCGAACAGGGAAAATGTGGCCATCAATCGCTTCCATGCACCGGTATAAATATATAAATGTTGAAATAATTGGAATCCTAAAATACAGGAACCCTATCTAATCAAGAAGATATCAAATCCTTTTTTAACAAGGAAAACGTGGCCATCAATCGGTTCCAAAAATATAGGAATCCTAAAGGATCTAGAGTTACTTGGAGGTATTTCTCTTTCCCTTTTAGTATAAATAAGGGACAAGGCATGAGGAATTCTCATGCCGATCCCTCTCTCTCAGCCTCTCTCTCCCTCTCTCTCAACTTTTGGCCTACAACACTAAAACCCTATAAGCCTAAGTCAAAATACCCTAGCCATCGTATGCAATCACAGGATCGAGCAGCAACCATACGGAATCACCAGAGCAGCAACATTCAAGGTTTCCTGGAGCTTCTTTGCTTGATTAAGTTCAGAAATTAAGAAGCTCCACGAAACCTTGAATGCAGCTGCTTTATAGGGTGACATTGTCGTAGGCAAAAGCATGGATATATACCAAAGATTAGAAGCCATGCATATTTGCAGGTATGTGTTTTCTGATTTCTCGATAGGTTTGTTCTTGTTAGTATATTTGTTTCTTGTAATATTTTTTTCCCTCTTGAGATGTTTCATTATTTTTCTCTCTTTGTAAATTCTGTGCTGTAACGCGACTTTATATGTTTATGCAAACCCTTCCTTGTCATTAATTAATCGCAGAGAATATAACAGGGATGTTATTTTATATTTGTGTGTCCATCATACAGTTGATGCTATAAAATCGTTTTGGATTTGGTTGAAATTGTTCTTTTTTGTTTTTATAATGTCCTCAGGCCCGAAAGATTAATTAATTAATCTGCGTTTGTGTGATGCTCAAAGATTAATTAATTAACGTGCATTTGTTTGTTTGTTTTCTTTTTCTTTTCATCTTTTATCTTTTGTTTATTTAAACTTACATTAGGGATTGAGTTCTTTTAATTTGTATTTTGATGGTAGGTTTTATTCGTGGGTGCGATTAGTGTGGATTTTCAGTTCTTGTTTTCTTTCCAAAATTCTGTTGCATGATGATTTTATTCTTGGGTTCGAGTTTTTTAATTTTGTTTTGAGTTCAGGTTTTTGCTGGCCGCTTTTTATTTCTAAACTTTTTAGTTTCTTTTATTTCTGATATGTAGTTGGTTTGTCTGTAATATTTGCATTTCCTTCAACCATTTCGACGCATGTGTAGAAATGTTTATCCACCAATTGATAGAATTCAACTTGCACACCGGAAAAGGGAGAGAAAAAGGTGCGTTTTCGCTCTTAATTTTAGTGTAATTAATATCTCACACAATTATAACACATCTGTTTATCCACTAATTAATATTTCACACAATTAGATTTCTACAGAATCTAAGTTAATATCGAAACCATAACTCTGCCCTCCATACTGTACGTAAAGGTACTCTTTCAGAGAAGAGGAAGGGAGAAGAATTTCGGAGATTTCAGGCATGCCGGCCGTGGGGGGTGATGCCATGTTGAGCACCGCAACCTGGACCTTCAGATTAGAAGTTTCAGCCATGGACTCTGCTTCTGTAAGGAAGTTGCAGAGGGATTCTTTCCTCTTTCAATTTGGGGTTTCTATGGAATGGGGAAGTGGATAGAAGTTTCCAGAAGTGGGAGCCGTCAGTGCGGAAGCGTTGTGAAAAGAAACCTCCCCCACAAATTTGCACTACATTGCTCACCAAGCATAAACATCTTCCAACAGCCTGCAAACCGACATGCAACAATAGTAGTGCATTAAAAGGATCCACAAAATCAGACCACTCTCATCTGATAACAAATTCTTGGTTAAGAGCTTAAAGCACATCAAGCCGCCAACAACAGAGTCATCCAAGTCACAAAAGGAATAGAGTAAGTAAAAATGATGACACGCCTATGCCGGACTAAGGAAATTAGGTTAGGGAAAGAATGATCACCACTGGCATAATTTGATTCTTATTCGGTACACCAATTGATTCATAAAGTGTCAAAGATAGTATTTAAGCTTTTCTCATGGTCAGAACCTTGTGAAATGAAGGAGGGGAAGAAACAAAGAAACCCAAAGTCAAATTTAATGAATCATTGCCCTAAAAGTTAGAACCTACATGATTTCACAAGATTACCATACCAACAAGCACACGTAGCGTCGTAAAGGCTTCAATGCGAAGCTTTACATTACCTAGATGTCCTCGTGCAGCCTCATTATCTGCAGCCTATTCATAAAACCACAAAGGAGTAACATAAGAAAAATGAATGCTATAGAATAATCAACTGTCACAACTTAACATACTTTGAAAAGAAGTGATAGCCAGTGTCCAACACTTGCAGAAGCAATCTTTGACTATAGAAATGCAAGCAAACATTCATCTGGTTCTGAATCATACTTTTCAAGTTCTACCGAGTGGAGCTTTCATGTCTCTGTATTCTAAAAGCATAAGCACACCAAATATTTGTTTACATGCACAAGAATCATCAAAGCATGGAAGTAAATTCAGAAGCAGTTCCCCAAAACACTTAAAAATTCCTTCACGAAACTCTTCTGATGCATCAGATGGAGAAAGCAAAGCCCCATAAGTCAACTTCTTCAGTACTACAACCAACTGCAAAGGATATTATTGTGCTTCAAATGTGAAGACTGCCTTCTAGGACAACAATTCACAGGAACAAACTAACTAATACAACATACAAAACAATTTTGAACTAACGGAAAAACCATGCCATTTCTTTGGCAGCCAACTTTGAACTTACCTGATCTACAGATCCAAAACAACACTTCTTGAGCAGTTCTTCCAGGCACTGAAGCAACATTCAGCAACACTATCGCTCACTTTGTGAGGCATTTTTAGGACCTTATGAGTCGCAAGTTTTTCTTCAGAACCAAGCTTCTTTGAGGTTCTACAGTCAAGTCAACAGCTGCATCCAATAGAAGCAGCAACAGAAACAACGTGTAGCAGAATGAGAAACAACGATGTCAAGGAAATAATGCTTACTGATGTATACGTACTTACACACTCGCATTTCAAAATTCTTTTACAAATTTGTACGACAAGCATAAGTGATGAAACTATGTTTCCTCGGGTGTGGATCACTAGGAACTTTAATGTTGAACCCGCCATTCACTGTTGAACAATGGGACACCGATTCCACTAATGGAAAAGTGAAAATTTTGCTCCTCCGCCACCTCAGATCATATCACAATATAGTACTTAACAAATTTCAATACCAGAAACTCAAATATAATTTGACTTTGTGTACACTAACCCAACAAGTATAGCTCAACCACACCTACACGAAGTTCTGTGCAATCGGGGTGAGGACTTCGGTTTCTTTTTAACATAATTCAACCCAATACCTTCCACTCTACCAATTCCCCCGACCTTCGAACATTGCACCGATCACTAAAACTTAAAGACACAAGGATTCACTCTTTAATTAAAAATTATTAAGGCAACAACTCGATCAAGTTACGAATGCTTCGTCCAATTCCAACCCTCAAAGCTCACCCCTAGTGTAATATACCTATACATGCAAGCATATATAACGACACCTATATACATATATATTCATATACACAAGTACAAGTATACACACGTATAAAGAATGCAATTTAAGGCAAAGAAGCAAAATTTACAGAGAGGTTCAAGTGCTTACTCGAAGGATGGCTGGAGAGCATGAGGCGGAGACTGGCGAAGAAAATGGTGCAGAGACGAGAGAGCAGAGGAGTGCTTCTTGGGGTTTTGGAGAAGCTAGAAGCTCAAAGCAGTATGCTTTCAGCTGCCTAAACACTCTGCTTCCTTCTTCGTCCTCTGGGAACGCGAGCTTGTTGATTTCCACCATTGCAGACGGCGGCGAGAGGGAGGCGGGAGTTTAGAACCCCCAAATTGAAAGACGATTCCAGGGGGAGGTGTTTAACCCAAAACGGGTTGCCGACCGGTTTGAATATAATTGACCCGTTTTTGTTGGGCCTTAAGCTGGGTTGACTCTTTCGTAACAATGGTTCTCTTTATTTCTTCGGTCTTGAGGAAAACAATGGCTCGTTTAAACTTATTTCAATTTCTTAAGAATTTAATGAATGACTCGTTTGGAACGCATAGTTTGATTGGAATGGATTACCTTCAAAATCCAAGGTATGTTGACGGGAGATATTATAAAATTATGACCATCTAAATAATAGAAGATGAATTACTTATGAAGAAAACTTATTCGTTACAATTCTCATTAAAATTTAAGAGGCCTCTATTTCTATTTTATCCAATCATGTGTACCAAACGAGCATAACTTTTCTATAATATAACAATGTTAAGTTTGTTTTGCATAGAATGAGATTAAAAATAGGATTTGCTAGGTCTACAATTCATCCAACACCATCATGAACCATTAGGTTGGATTGCTGCAAGAATGAATAGCGAATACGTAATATTAACAAAAAATTTAGGAAAGTGATTTCTATACGCTTGTTTTTCACCTCCTGCATACTTCTCTTAATTATAATCATTGATTCGTTTTTTATTTGTTCAATCTCATAGCTAAAACAAGGGGGTATAGGGTGAGTGTGTGCGTAAATCATTTCATAAAGATAAACTAGTTTTTTTCTTTGACAAGCAACAATAGAGATATTTCATTAACACAACAGATTTACAAGAGGTGCCAAATGAGTATATATTCTCCAGTGATCAATTTCTTGATTTGGATATAATTCGCACAGCTAACAAATAAGGTAAAACCCTTACATGACTACCACACAGAAGAACTAGGTGCAGACGGTATAACTTGCTCCAACGACTATAGAGACCCGAGAAATCAAGCATCAAAGCCACCACTAAATTAAACAGCGAGACTGCATCACACTACCACTAAAACAGCAGGGCCACAATACTCGCGGAACTGACACAACACAAACCAATAAACTTCTAATGTTGATTATTTCATGTTTCATAAATTTCAACTTTGAGATATTTTAGCTGTCCCAAAATTCTTTCAAATTGTTTACAATCCCGCACGAATGGATTGATAATCCTGTGTGTACTTTTCTTCAGAGACAAAAAGGGGTTTTGCTAGATCAGTTGTAGCTACTGATTCAGCTCATAGACTTTGACTCTATTTCCTACTTGTATTGTCCTAAATTCCTCCGAGGAGCTGGAAACGAAGGAAATATGTCAAGCTGGTTGGTGTAAGTGGAAATTATCAACTACCCACTAAGATAATTAATCATACAGTTAGAAAATACTGGTTTTGAATTTAATTGGACCAATGCACCAACCCCTCGAGGACCTTAATTATCCACTTGCTCACAATTAACAACAGCTAATTATTAGAAATAAAAAAATAATAATTCTTCTCTCTTTACTCAACGCTTGGTTCTCCAGTTAAAGTTGATTTCTGGGTCAATTTTAGGTTAACTGATGATCACAAGTAATTTGACTCCCGGTGTGGCTGAAATTCATATAAGAATGGGACTGTTGGAATGTTGAGAAAAACTTTGTACCAGATTGTACATGTCATATGATGTTGATTGGCACAAGTGTTGGCATTTAATTGTGCTAGCTAGTTACTCATAATATATATGTGTGTATGTGTGTGTGTATATTCTTTTCACTTTTTAAACACATACCAAATTTTTATAATATTATGCAGATAACGCTTTTCTGCAATGTCAAAAAATAGCTAGATATATGCACCTTCATACGAGTTTAATCCATGTAAATTCCCATCTTCCTAACTACTAACTTTACCTAGCCCACAAGTGAAAGAGGATATTGTACATTCTAGCCGAATTGATTAAGTTTGAAGTTGGTTGATTCTTATTCTCTTCTATATATTGTAGTTTCGTACACTCACACTTTTGCTTTGCACCCTATATTTAGGCTCAATTGAGATGATTGGTTGCATGTCTTTACCATATACATTTTCCCTCAATTTTTATTTTTATTCAATATCAAATGTTAAAAAAAAATGTTTATTACCTACTCACTGTGGGTAGGGTGCCTTTTCACTCAAATTTCATATATATATATATATATAGTCACTGTGGGTATGGTGAAATCAAAGTGGTCGAATTGCCTTGTTACTAAAACATGTGAATTGCTGCTACAATTTTCAAACGTATTTTTCATCTGAGCTTATTATATTTTTCATCAAGAGGGGAACTATCTCACCCAACCACTCGAAGATGTTTGAACATCATCACATGAAAGGAGGAGAATTTGTTTGCACTTATCATATATGTTATATATCTTTCTTTTTAGAATAGATACGTAACACATAAACAAAACTTTCAGAAAAATATTATAATAACTGGAAGACAAATACTCTTTTATAAAAATATTTGATGATGTTTAATTGTTCAACCTACACTGTGTTTTGACATAAACTATGAAAAACTACATCAAAGATTCCATCATCATAACATAAGCAATTCCCCTATTTGTAATTTTAAAACTGTAGTCAGGATGACTCAACTAATATCAGCATTAATTTCACTAACTTAAATGGTGGAATTGTTTTGTGGCGAAGAAAGCCACGTTTGAAAGTAATCCATTCTCTCGTCATATCCTGCAGGGTTTGGCATTTTGTCAAAGGTCTCTGGGATGACTGGTTGTTCAGTCGCATCCTTTGGTAATATCTCCTGGTTGTTGATCTCACTCTCTGTTGCTGCGGCTTCAAATCCAAGCTCACTTTGCAAGTAACTAAGACAATTCCCATTTTCCACATGTCCCAAGCCTGAGCTCTGGTAATTAGCCTCATCAGCCTCATGAAGTACTTGGACTTCATTTGATTGGAGTGGCTGAAAGTCATCCAACAGGTTCCAAAAGTCAGAGTCATACTCAAATGGATTATCAAAAATTCCTGAAAGGTCAATCGAATCATCATCCATTTGCTGCTCTTCTGCTCCTGGCCTTGACATACCAACAACTTGGCTGGAATTACTTGAGCCGTTGGATTCATTAGATGAAACATTAGAAGAAGTTGTCAACTCTTTCAACCCCTTGGGATCATTTGTTAATTCCATGGGAAAATCCTGATGATTGGGGTTTTCTTGAATTGTCAAACTGCATGGCTCATGTGGCTTGTTGTTGGTGGCCATGCTAGTTTCTTGGTCAGCAGATTGATGCTCAATTAGTTCATCCCCTCCTCCTACAGTTGATTTTCCACTAGACAATAATGTAGTAGTAGTAGAAGAAGATGATGAGGAAGAGGATGTTAAGGAAGATAGGTTTCGGCAAGCCAATCTTTTCTTTAGATGAGTGTTCCACACATTCTTAATCTCATTGTCCGTTCGTCCCGGGAAATGTGCTGCAATTGTCGACCACCTGCACAAGTTTCTGGTAATTAGGGGATTCGAACTTGAGGCATCTTTAATATTAAAAAAAATGAATAAATACCAGATTGAAAATAAGGTAGTAATAAAATATAGTTTTATTGTGTATCAATAATGAGTAATGGAATGGCTTCAAACCTGAAATATTTTTCATATCCAAAATAGAATTATATACCACTATGCCGAGAATAAGTTAGTAATAAAATATAGCTTAATTAATCCACTAATTATATTTGATGAGATTTATGTTGGATCTTACTTGTTTCCCAAGGCTTCATGTAGCTTCATTATGGACTCCTCTTCCTCTCTTGTGAAGTTCCCTCGCTTCACATCAGGGCTAAGGTAGTTAATCCATCTCAAACGGCAACTTTTACCACATCTCATCAAACCTTCAAAACAAATTAATATTAATGTACTAGCATATATTCTGAAACAAATTAAAATGATCTATGAGATTTGCATAACTTCTCACTTTGGTCTTTGGATTTGAAATCAATAGAAGTGGTCCCGAGATTGTCCACCATCAATAATTTTAGTCATTCCGTGAAAAATCTCCATTAAATAATAATAAAATGACAAAATAATTGAAGGTATTTTTGTCATTTTGATTCTTATTTAACATAATTTTACACGGAATGATCAAAATAATTGGTGGTGGACAATCTCAGTGACCACTTCTATTGATTTCAAATCTCATGAATCAAAGTGAGAAATTATGCAAATTTCAAAAACATTTTAGCTAAAAAGCCTTTATTCAAATTCGAAGTATATATTAATGTTGGTGGGAAATAAAAAGTGGAGAAAGGGACATTTCATCTCGCAGCCATGCAAAGACTTAAAGGAAACTTGATGTGACTGATAATGTCGCGCACTCGTTCTCAATTCCTAACTATGTTGACACAAAACACTTGGTCTTTCTAGAGGTAATTGATGAGATTTTCCAACCACACATACATACATACATACATACATACATATACATACATACATACATATATATATATACATACATACATATATATATACATATATATACATACATACATATATATACATATATATATACACACACACACATATATATATATATAGTCACTTGAAAGATACAAAAGTTAGGAAACCTCTCCCTATCACTCTTCAAACTTGGACCAACATTCCACAATCTAGTCTAGCTAAATGATGAAGCCAAAGATAGACAACAACAAGGCCCTCGTGTGTCCATACCACAAAGAATACAAGAAAAAATTGTTTGTGACTGTAACACAAACACGTGGTATAAGTAATGAAAAGTAACATTGAATTTATAAAACTAAGTCAATAACATTTAGTTCGTTTGTAGAAAGAGCATTTTCATAATAATTTGTCATGGGAAAAATAAAATTCATAATTTGTAGTATAGAAGGTAAGGGGTATCGATATTCACGAAAATTTGACACATTCGAACAGGATATGCATGTTTCAGAAAGCAAGTATTGGTTTGCCATTGCTTGTGATTATTTTCATACAAGGATGCACACGTCATTACAGTTAGGCAGATATGCAATAACAAGGATTAGGTATTAACATGGTAACAATCATTAATGTTATATAGCCTTCCAAAAAGTAATTTTTAGAGGTTGAATATAAATTTAAAATCAAATTAAAAACGTTTCAAACTTGGTTTGCTTTTTATTGTTTAAGGTAGCTAATTAACAAAATTCTTG